ATTCAGCTTTTATAAAGAAACTATGTGATAACATTTGAAAGAGTTAACATGTTGTCCATTACAGCTGTGTAAAATTGTAAAAAAAAAAAATTCACTTCAGGTTATTACTTAATAAGAAGAAAAAAAATAAAAGATTGTAAAACAAAATAATATAGATAATTCTACAAGCTTGAGATTACAAGGAGAAAGAAAGTTAAAGCTGTCTGTAATATAATACACAAGAGGTATAAGGGATTAGAAATGTGCCGATAGTATTGGTATCAATGTAGGCACTGTCAGCCTTTTCTTTTTGGTACTGGTATCAGCAAGGTCAAAATATAGCCAAATACTAAAAAAAAACATTTGGTAGTTGATACCATAGATACCATCTTCAACTTAGCAATCATACCAAACAAATAAACAGGCTGCTTGATAAAAGATAACAAATCCATACACTAATTTAATTTTGACAACGTGAATGTTATCATTATTATTTTTTTAGCACTAATTTAATCCAGTACATAATTTAAGTCTATCTCTGCCATTAAAATGAAAGTAGCCATAATTTTTTTTTAATTTCCAGATAAAATAGAAATACAAATCAAATTAACTTCATACAAGTTGTATCAGAAAAATATCAGCCAATGGTCCAAATTGGAGTATTGAGCGTAGTTGAAAATTGGGTATTGGCATCAGCCCACATCTTGATATCTGCACATCTCTATTAGGGATCGTGAAGCAAGATAGAAAATAAAAAAGTTGAAAATAACCATAAATATATACATAGATAAGTAACTAATCTGGTTAAAAAGACAATCATGGATACACAATGCCAGACAGTGACGTAAACCAGTGATAGATAGATCAAAACAATATTGATATAACCTAAAATTTCAGTCATTAAATTCCATTATCAATACTAATGATTTTTGTGTGTGTGAAACTTCAGGTTATCTCAGAATTGTATGCCAATGTTTACAATTTTTGTAGTTGGTTTGCTGTCCAACCCTGGTACATAAAAACACACTGTACCACTGAAGGGTTAAACACAAGATAAATACTCAAAATATACCTAATAGTTTCATATACACTAACATGACATTTCACAATTTTAAGCTGATACATTGTTTCTCCCACACCTAAGTCTGTTTCCCTTCTGCACAAGAGGATACAGCACCACTTATAAACCATTTTAATGCCACTACTTACACTTAAAAATCACTCAGAAAAATTACTATACTTCACACGTAAACAATAAAGCAAAGACTGGCAACCATGCAGCCTATGGCTCATCTGAAAAGGGATAAACATCTGTCATTTAATATCTTGTAGACATCTTATAGTGGAAACATGCCATTACATGGACTTTTAAACTGTGATACCGACGGCTTAATCAACTAAGGAAGACTGTAAACACTTCCTGTTAAAACAATCCAGGGTTCCCTTCCTTTGCACATTCCTCTCCCCATTTGAACAAGCCCTAAATATTTGATAAGACTTGAGTAATACACAGCATATAACAAGAGGCAAGGTTATGTTTTACAATGGGATGTATGGCACATAGTGGCTTAGGTACCGTATTTCCGAGAAAAAAATAAAAATAAAACAGCTCAAGTATTAAATGAACATTAATCTACCATTCTCACATTAAGAATCCCAAGACGGAAAAGAGAATTGTAGGTTATCAAAAAATTCACTGAGATAAGAAGCTCAAAGCAAGAGGTGTCATTTTCTCTAATTCTATACATCCCAGCCAACCAACCTATTTTTTTCTATGCTACCTTTATAGTCATACAACTTTATAACTATAACTCCAGTTTTCATTACCTTACCATTTCTGTTATTGGTACTTAGATTACCTTTTATCTGAAGTTCATTATCAAATCATCCATTTTCATATTTAAATAGTATAGAAAAGAAAATTACAAAAATTAACAAAAAGAATGATTTCCAAAGGAGAAAAAATATCATAATCTATTAGCATTTCTTTCAATCAAATACTGCTTTCTTATACACAATTTCCCACCCCCTGCTTTCGGATTCACAGATAATCTGAACACAAAATAACTGCTATGTTATTTATGAGAGCAGAAGATTTTCAAAGACACAGCAGCAAAAAATCAAACTTTTGAACAGGGATAAAACGACAACAAAAAATAGAGACAGAGGAAAGAAAGGAAAAGGAGAAACAAAGCTTCAAGACCGTGAATTTCCAAACATTTTCAAGTACTAGCTAAAAACTACGAACCATTACACAACGCAGGAACAAAGAGGAACTGAATTCTAGCAGGGGAACATGCTCAATTTATCCCGGTGAAGAGATGCATTCATTTGCATCAAGTCACCTTTGCAACACAATATCCAACTTTCAGTGCCAACAAATTGAAACAGTAATGATCAATTCAGATAAAATAGAAAGAAAGAAAAATTAATAGTTAGTTCTATATGAAAAAGGGGGACAAGAGAGGAAATATAGAAAAAAAAAAAACATTAAGCTTTAGTCTTATCAGTTAATACCTTATTGAATTTTATTTATAAACTCTTGCTAATATTAATATAATGCATTGCAATGTCTTTATTTTTTACTTTAGTATATACATATATTCAAATTAACATTTTTTGAAATGTCCAATATATAGGAATGTACCTTAATTATCTTTAATCTGTACATATCAATTACCTGCATTTTCATCTACCCTTTGCTTAAATGTTATCAATTTTTATAATAAAAAGGTGCTGATCTCTCCTTACAACAAAAAGCCAGAGAAAAACATGTAGGACCATAATTTTCTTTGTCTCCTAAAAAAAATTGACCACAGCTTAACAGTTGCAAGAACAAAAGCCTGCAATGTCTGTTTGCTGGAAATAAACCTTGTTCCACACTTCTTTCCCATTAAATGAGCTGTGCAATTCTAAAGCAAAAACTGAAAAACTTGCAAAGTAAACCATGCAGTGTGTTTATAACTAATTATTCAGAAGAAATTAAAAGGAGACTGTATTTTCAAGACACATAGGTGTTTATCTCTCTTACAATATTTGAATGCACTGACAAATCTAATCCTTTTTTTCAGAACAACTAAAAAATGCATTATTGCTCTTTGGATATACCATAAAAAAATCCATATTCCACTCTAAGAAATTAAACAATATACACACAGTAAAACCTCTACTTCTATCCATCTACTGAAATATCATTTGAATTCATGCCTTACAAACGCCTGTTATACTTTCTGTGTTTAAATTAAGCACTTTGACACATGCCAAATGCAAGAATAACAAACTATATGAACTTGTTATTCATTAGATACACATTCCTTCAATAAATAAATTGCTCTTGTAATCTGCTGTGCATTCTATATACCACACAAATACACTCCTCCACAAATATATTCTCTATTTCACTTAGAAAATCTATTGGAAAGGTCAGCAGACCAACAAAGTTTAAGTTTGCTCAAGAGCATAGAAAATTAAAACACCATGTATATTACATTGTCATTTCCCATATAACTATGTATAATACACTGCAGCTACTCATTTCACTAGAGAACAGGCTGATGCCACACAATTTTGCCATTCAGGCAGCCTGAGACTAGAAGGCAATGTGTGGGAGAGAACTTGGTACTAACAACACAGTTTTTGTGACAATTGTTGGTGGATACAGCATACAGGGTTTGGGGAATATCTTGCACACATGTGGAGAGTTCTGAACAGTTCTGGTCAAACATCATGAGCCGCACCCCATGAGCATATGGGGAGCATATAAGCCGCCCATCTGAGTTGAAGCACAGCTCCTTGATAAACCCTCTTCCAACATTTGGTTCCTCTATATAATGAGTTAGCCGTGAAATATTCTTTGCAATCTTATGGTTTGGATCCACCGTCTGATTATATCGAGGATAATTCTCCAAGGGTCGAAGAAGCAACAGAGCCCTATGATTGCCAGTACCAGTTCTTATATAAAATGCATTACGAGAGTCGATAATATTGGCTGCAGTCCTTCCCGAGCCCAAATTTTCTCTGGCATTGTCAAAATCTCTCCCTCTGTGCACACTAAAGGTCCTATTACGGCCAAGGTGTTGTAAGGCTGGTGATGGTGATTGAGAGGAAGAGGACTGGGGGATACCAGAGGAGTTTTCATTGTTTCCACTACTTGAGGAGGCCTCTGAATCAGTCCGAGCTGCTCTCTGCCTTCCTTGCCGTATCCGTTGTTCCTCACGGCGCTCCCTTATATGTTCTAAGGCTTCAAAGACATCCATTGATGTAAATCGTAGCTGGATGTCTATGCCTCCCCCTCCTCCACCTCCTCCTCCTGCACTACCACCAACTGCTATTCCTGCACCATCTACAACTCTCACTCCACTCCCACTAGAGGCTGTAGCAAAGGCATTAACGTTGCTACCACTGCTGCCACCCCTAGCAGGACCAGCTCCACCTGCCATCTCTCCCCCACCCCCTCCGCCTCCATCACCACCACCATCATCACTCTCATCCCTTGGGCTGTGACGCAGCATGATTTCCACCCTTGGGCTGAACGTCAATGATAAATGTAAGTTTCCATTTACATTGCCACTTTCACTTCCACTGTTCGTACTACTGTTACTATTGTTATTACTACTGTTTGCACTGCTTGGTCTATTCTGAAATGTTGAAGAATTCTGTGCTTCCGTCTCGCTTGTTGAGGGAATGTCATCATAGGGTTCTAGGTCTCCATGGTGGTCTTGATCCTCATCCTCATCCTTGCAAGCTGTCACTCCTAGGTCCTGGATGTCATGAACACAGCTCCACTGGAAAAGATTTTTGATGGTAAATTTATTGTGAATTATGACACAACATGCATGAAACAGGTCTGTTTTACTTTAAGCTATTCTCTGCAAGTGATAACATTTTCAAAATCTACTAGAATTTAAACATTAAATAAACTTGTATCTCCCCCCCACACACACACACACACACACACACACACACACACACACACACACACACACACACACACACAAAAAAAAAAAAAAAAAGAGCAATAAAAATTTGATCACTTAATTATGCTTGATCAGAAGACTACTTGTGAAAATTATATTCCTTTGATGACATTTATTTCCTGTTCAATATTCTGGCATATTTCAAATTCAGGAATAATGGATGCAGTGCCAGTAATGATAATACAGCTAAGAGGCAGTAGTATCAGTACGAATAACAACAATAATGGAATTTAGTTTTGATACTGGTAACATTTTAATCATTTTAAGATTGGGGAGCAAAATCACATAATAAAGTAACACCATCATCATGATAATGACAACAATCTACACATCAATATCACCAAAAACTCAAAAATAACAAAAGCTGTAGTAATAACAAAAAGCCCAAACTACTGAACAAAAATGATGAAAATTATTTTAAAAATTATTGAAAAAAAATAATAAAAAAAAAATTACTCTAAATGAAAACAAATAAACAACTTTAACTGCTTACCTCTGATGAATCTTCCATGGATGTATTTCTGGACAACACACACCAACCCTGTGGATGAACTTGCAGAGAGTGGATGACCTCCGCCTCATTGGAAGGAGGGAAGTCTGAGATGAACTCCACTCTGTTCCGCTGTCTGTAGAACAGGTTTGTGAACATGGTGGCGTGGGGCAACGGAGTGTTCGACAACTGCATCAATCGGTACATGTTGGGCTGTGAACAAACATGGGATGATTGTGTTACTACGAAAGAAATAAATGCAAATTGAATGAGTCAAGATTCCTTCCTCCACGCTTTTTTTTTTCCATTCTCTTTATCCCCTAAAAGACTGCAGACCTAAATTCTCCTTTCTTTAAGCTTATTGCCTCCAGGAACATTTAATGCTCACTAAAGTTTTCTTTTGTGAATTGTCTTAACACAACAGAGGTTTGGAGCTCCATAAGCACTCAGCCACCAAAGAGTCAATTAGTAAGCCTACATGACTTGACCTGATTTCCTGGGAAAAATGCCAAAAATTTGGCTGAAGGTCAGGGTAACAGGAATGACCTAACACGAGTGCACAAACCTATTGGAGGTAAAATAGACTCAGTGGGAATTTAAGAATGGGCTTCCATATTACTTCCACCAGTAAGCAGGGTTGGAATGTAGCCTCTGTGAGCCATGCCTGGAAGAGCACCATGGAGGGTACTATTTCCAATCTCAGGATTCTATTCTTGCCAGCCATGACCAGCGGCACAGGGTGTTACAGAAAACTAAAGACAAAGATATAAAAAAAACTGGCACTCATAACACTTTGTTACTTATTATTATCGTTATTGCACAGACTACCTAAAAAGAGTGTATTGAGTCTGCTCAATGTAAACAGTCTATTACTACCTTGCTACAGCACACAAATGATAAATAAAGACCTTGAAAAATGGTAATATATACTTGTGAAAAAGAGATAATGATATTGCAAAGGGGAGGCAAGGATTCTTGATACCACACAAGTTAGCCAGACCACCAAGCCATGTACCCAGGAGTGTCATGACTCAAGAAAGCCTATAGCAAATTGGAAAAAAAGGGGGAAAAAAACAAACTCTAAAAATCAAGGAAAAGGGTATACAAGTATGATAGGTAGTAGTTGCAACTGACTCCTTGGTGATTAAGCTCTTGCAGAGCCATTATGTGTAAACAAATAAAACATTAAAATCCCAATGGAAAAGGAATGTACGTACATGGTCTCCCTAGTGGCAGCAGGTTAATCCTTCTTTTCATAATTTCTGATCATAAACAGATGCCGTGAGAGAGAGAGAGAGAGAGAGAGAGAGAGAGAGAGAGAGAGAGAGAGAGAGAGAGAGAGAGAGAGAGAGAGAGAGAGAGAGAGAGAGAGAGAGAGAGAGAGAGAGAGAGAGAGAGAGAGAGAGAGAGAGAGAGAGAGAGAGAGAGAGAGAGAGAGAGAGAGAGAGAGAGAGAGAGAGAGAGAGAGAGAGAGAGAGAGAGAGACAAAGAAAGAAACAAAGAAAGAGAAAACAACAGTGACAAAAACAAGATCTAAAAACATATTTCAATCCACAAAAAGCACTTGCCAAAACGAACCTTAAAGTTCCTAAGATCTTCCGAAAGGTGCTCCAGACTGAGGTTGTGCACAAGTACCATGTAGCCGCCAGTGGTGCACATGACCAACTTGCTGCAATCGGGACTTAGGCGCATTCTCATGAGTCCTTGCATGCTGAACAGTTCAGTGGACAGCAGACCATCCTCTGTGTACCTGGGAAGAAGAATTATTTTTTTTAAAGCCCTAAATTATTTAAAAGTTTATAGTTTTTTCTTACGAGAATTATCCAAGGCCACACATTCTAAAAATTGGAGAAGGGCAATCAGGATGAGCACTTGAAGAAAATCAAGAAAACATAATTATAGGGGATGTCGGGCTCTTAATAACATATAAATTTCAATTCTAAAATTCCTTTGCTTGAAGACTGATCACATTATCCATATTTTCTTAAGTCTTCATTTTTTTTCCTTCTAATGGGTCCTTCTACTGCTGGAGGCAGCATGAGGGATCCTTCTGCTGCTGGAGGCAGCGTGAGAGATCTTCCTGCTGCTGGAGGTGGAGTGAGGGAACCTTCTGCTGCTGGAGGTGGGGAGATGATGGGGTGGCAGTCGGAGGCATCTGAAGGCCGCCCCTTCTCCCGTAAGCCAGAGGTTGATGAAGGAGGTCTGTGATGAGCTCCAGGCAGAACTCAAGTTGGCTCAGGGTGCCACCCAACACCGTGTGGACAACGTACGTATTCACCACCACCATGTTGAGCAAGTGGTTAAAGACATTCTAAAACCACCTGGCGGTGAGGCCAAATGATCTGAGAGGTCGACCCCTTTCATACCCACATTGTAGTCAAGGTCTACTTGGGGTTTAGTCCGGACTTCACCATGGCGGTTCAGGAGCAGGTCAAAAGCATATTCATCTGCTTCCGATCCATCCAAGACATGTCCAACATCCCTGTCGCCGAAGTCTGGAAGTCGACGTTACCGTGGGTGCTCACCTTGAGGTCCTGGCCCATGGATGTATTGAAAGCACTGTGTTGCCAGCACCAGCACCTTCACTCTCAAACAGGCGGTATACCTTTATCCAGAACCACCCCCTCTTCATCAGGTTGAATTGAATAGTGTGGTGACATCCCCTGTATGCCCACAGCAACTCATCAACTGCAATTTTCTTGCCAGGGACATAGACCGTCTTGAAAGTCTCATCAAGGATATCCAACACTAGTCACAGCTTCCATAAACGGTCGGTGTCAGCATGGGGGTCCTCGTTGTCTGAGAAGTGGACGCGACTTTGCAAGGCTTCAAATCTATCCCTGGTAATCATTTCGGCGAACACTGGTGAGGAGATCAACCAATAATACCACGAATGGGGTCGTGGCTTGCAGGCCCACAGTAGGTGAAGGCCAATAAACGACTGCAGCTCCTCCGCAGTCATGTTCTCCCATGTCTTCATGTGCGAAGATGGGGTGACAGGCCTCTGCTCCACATACCAGTTGGTCTCCTTCGCCAACATCTTCCATAAGTCCCGAGTCAGTAAGCAGTCTAGAATCCCTCCGCCCAAAATAGTACTCTCAGCCGTAAAAGTACATACTCCTCAGCCGTCGGCATAGGCCAACAGCCAGCATAGGCCGACAGCTGGCATATATGGGTTAACCAAGTAACTTTGGTATTAAAAATTGACTAGTAGCCAATAATGTCAAGTTATTGTGCATTATGGCAGTATTTCTATTTACGCTTGGCTCATTTAGTATTACAAAGACAACAATAAATACCCAACATAACTCTTCACTTTCAGCACCAGTTTCTAAGCTACACCAAAAAAATGAAGCTACTACTAGGCAGAAACAAGCTGACAGCACACACCATGTTCTTATGCAGCACCATCCACAACCATTGGATGATATCCAGCCATCTACATCCAAAGTATTAATGATTTCAGAGTTTTCTTTCTCCTTTCTATGAATAGTAATATAATAAAAAATCCCGTCATAATATTCAAAAAGGTATTAACTTTCATATCATTCTCCTTAGCTTCTGCAGGTAGCCTAAGTCAACAGGAAATAACTTTTACCTTGCTTTCCATAATATTTCATCATTCACCCAGATACAAAACAATAACATTGACAACACTGATAAGACAAGCAGGGAACATAACTAATTGTCTTTGGGAAAAGTAATACTAAGGAGTTTTAATATCAAACAGAATATTTTCCAACCGGCACATAGTTGACAAAAATAATACATAGAAATCACCTAATAAACACTTCCTATCACTAAAGATAAAAGCAGAGATATATCAGGTGTCAAGTAGAAAACATGATAGGCCAAATAATTGTTATCACATGGTAAAGGATAAAGATAGATATCAGTCTGATAAAATGGTAAAGATTGATAAATGGATCTTTGTAGCAAACATAGCTACTGTTCCTGAGTGTTTAGTTACAACATGATAACCTTTTGTTCATATGTGAGGATTTCCGTATTGTAATCTAAAAACACTGGCCTACAAGCATGAAAAGCTACAAATTGGCCAATATACTTTTCTTGTATTAAAAGAGGATCTCCCACCCTGGGGAGTAAGAATAACAAATAGTTATACAGGACCCTAAAACTTTCACCAGATTGCAATTCAAAGTATAATCATAATCTAAGATGCATGAACTAATCAGACACATTATAAATGACTTACCCATTAATATCCCAGCCAAGTATCTTGCCATCAAAACCAGACGTAACCAAAATGCCGTCCCCAGCAGAATATTCTATGTTCTTCACCCAGTTGCTGTGTCCCTGGAGCAGTCGAATGCGCCTCTTCAGGTTTCGCACATCCCAAAGGGCTACTGTGTGATCGTCACTACATGAGGCAAACACGCGAGAGTCGAGGAACCTGCCACAAATGAGTATTAATAAGCAATCGCGATTGCTGGACATAAAAAGAGCACTTTATTTTCTATGACTATACTACATTTGTAAAAGGTAATGAACAATTAAGTGTTCTCAAATAATCTTTCTAATTCATTATATTCATAATACACTAATATCTGTAATCATTATTCTCTAATAAATAATAATTCATTAATTTAATAAGGCTAAATTTTTGAAGAATCTGAATGACAAAAATTCTGTAATGCTACAAATCAACCCAAAATAAAGAAAATTCATCTCAGAGAAGAAAGAAGATACCATGATTTAAAAAATAAACAACTGTTTCATCATCTAAAGTCCATATCAATTAATAACACCATAATACGACTTCACTGCAAACAAAATATAATAAACATATCAGCAACTCTACAACATGTATAGTCACGGCATCATATAAAACTCTACAATCAAAGGGAAAATACAAATCACTACTAATCAAAGTCCACTTACTTGATACCATTGACACAGTTCTCGTGAGCTAAAGGTATATAATGGATCTGTCGTCTGGACAATGGATCAAACACCATGATGGCTCGCTGTTCACATGCTGCCACCAGATAGGTCCTGTAAGATACATAAGTACATAAATATACACATACACATATGCAGTTATTGCAACTTACATGTGCAATGGGCACACTGAAAATAAAAAATATAAAAAAGGATAAAAATATACTACTTCACTACAACTAATAATAGTAGTAATAATAGTAACAAGAAAATGAACAATAACAAGGATAATAACAAAAACAATATCAATAACAATGATAATAATAATAATGATAGTTAAAATAATAACAACAATAATAATAATAACATCAATAATAATAATAATAATAATAATAATAATAATAATAATAATAATAATAACAATAAATAATATAAATAATAAACAATAAATAATAATAAATCATAATAACTATAATAATAATAATAACAATAACAATAATAAAAATAATAACAATAATAATAATAATAATAATAATAATAATAATAATAATAATAATAACAACAATAACAACATTCAAAACAGCAGATGATGATAATGATAATGATAAAAATAACAACAAAATACTAATGATAACCATACTAAGCCCTAACAATAACAAAAACAATAATAATAACCATTATAATAACGATAACAACAATATGTATATAATAAACAAAATGATAACAAGGATATTAACAATTATAATAACCATGGTAACAATAAAACAAAAACAATCATAATGATAATGATAATTAAATTGATAATGATAATGGTAACTATAAAAATGATAATAATGATGATGATGTTAATAACAATAATAACAATAATAATAACAGCAGCAACAGCAACAATAATAACAATAAAAACTATAATGATAATGAAGAAGAAGAAGAAGAAGAAGATGACGACAAACATGACGACAATAATATAAACAATAATAATAATAATAATAATAATAATAATAATAATAATAATAATAACAATAATAATAATGATAATATTAATGATAATAATGATGATAATAATGATGATGATAATAATAATAATAATAATAATAATAATAATGATAATAATAATAATAATAACAACAATAATAATAATATGACAATAATAATAATAATAATAATAATAATAATAATAATAATAACAATGATAACCATCATCATCATTATCATTTTTATCAATGATGTAAATAAAAAATAATAATAAATAAATAAATAAAAATAATAAATAAAATAATAAACATAACATCACACATAAAAAGGGAAAAAAAAGTAATAATAAAAAAATAAGAGTATTAATAGTAACAGTAACAATTACAACTAATAATAATAACAAAAAATTAGTATCATAAGAAACAAAAATAATAACAATGATAATAAAGCAATAATAGTAATAACAATAATGATAATAGCTGATATCAATAATAATAATAATAATAATAATAATAATAATAATAAAAATAATAATAATAATAATATTGTTATTAATGATAACAATAATAAGGATAATAAAATTAATGATGATAAAAATCATAAAAATAATAACAATAATAATATCAATAACAATAACAACAACCATAATAATAATAATAATAATACCAATAATAATCATAATAACAATACTACTACTACTACTAATAATAAAAATTATAACAGATAATCATTACTATTAATGTTATTATGATCAAAATCAATATCATTAACACTAAGATAATAATAGTAATAATAACAATAATGATAATGATGATGTTACTACTAATAATAATGATGATGACAACAATAATGTTGATAACAGCAAAAACAATAATAATAGCAATGGTAGTAACAACAGTAATAGTTGTAGAAATGGTAGTAGTTACAGTAATAATAATAATAATAATAATAATAATAATAATAATAATAATAATAATAATAATAATAATAATAATAATAATAATAATAATAATAATAATAATAATAATAGTAGTAGTAGTACTAGTAGTAGTGGTAATAACAACGATATTAATAGCAATAACAATAACAACAATAATAACAAAAAATAAGAAAAATATCAACACTAATAACAATAACAACAACAATAACAATAATAACAATGATAAAAATTATAATGA